CACCAAATCAGCATGAATGATTTCTGAAGGATCATGACACTGAAGATTAGAGCAATGTCTGCTGAAAATGCAGCTTCACCATCACAAGAATAAATGACATTTAAAAATAAATTAAATAAAAAACAGTTCTTTTAAATTGTAATAATACTGTATTTTATAATATTACTCTTTTTACTGTATTTGATCAGATTAATGCAGCGTTGATACAAGACTTTTTTTCAAAAACATAAAAAAGTATATATAACGTAATATTAACAAACACACACAAAAAATATGTATCTGTGTAGGCCTGTACAGTGGTTTGGTCAAGTCATATATTGTACAAAACAAAAGAGCAGGTGTTTACATGCTGCCATTTGGATGTGGCCACATAACTTCATCAACGTGACACCTGAATCTGGTTCCTTGGCCAAACAGCCTGGGAAGTTGTGCCTAGAATGACAGGCCTCTGGCGTGATGTCATTACAGTCCATGTGGATTGCTTCAAGAAAATAATAAATGGGTTTCAATCATTCATTTTCCATTGCCAGAATGAAAAAAAAAAAGCCTCAGTTGGATCTGGAAATGGGGATATGGTGGACGTAATGTCATCTGAGAGAACAGAAGGGTGAACCATTGCACTACTGTAAGTGTTGGACACTGGCTTTGTCCTATATAATAACACAGGTCATGTGGTCTGGGCTCCTGTGCCATTTCTCTTGGGTAGGGAATAGATATAAGACATTGTGAAATTCCAAAAGCAGAGTCATGTTGTATGGTCCAGCTGTGAGATGAATGATCCCTTGCAGAGCAAAAGACACGACAAATACAGAATTTTTCAGTTTGATATAAACGTTTCACATGATCACATTAACATTCAGGGTCATAAAGATTATATTTGTAATATTTGTTTTTCAGCAAGGATGCATTAAATTGATCAAAGTGACAGTGAAGATATTCATAATGTTACAAAAGATCTCTATTTTAAATAAATACTTCTTTTGAAGTCTGGTAATCAGAGAAATATGTTTACAGAGAAATTAAAGGAAACAAATGAATAGTTTTATTTGTTTAATTGATCAAAAGTGACAGCAAAGAGTTACAAAAAAATGAAAAGTATCACAATTTCTACAAAAATGTTAAGCAGCATAACTGTTTTCAACAATGATTATAATAAGCTCCAAATTGGCATATTAGAAAAAATTCTAAATGATCATGTGACACTGAAGATCCAGCTTTGCTATCACAGGAATAAATTACATTTTAAAATATATTAAAATAGAAAACACTTGCTTTTAACTGTAATAATATTTCACAATATTACTGTTTTTTTTTATGTAAAATGTGTTTGATGTAAAATTGATGTTTTTATCAAATAGATGCTGTCTTGGTGAGAATAAGAGATTTCTGTAAAAAAAAAAAAAGTAAAAAGTCTTACAAATTACTAATTTACACATTTTGAAGGGTAGTGTATAGGTTTCAAGGCCCAATTAAAAAATATATATTTCTTTTTTTCTTCTTTTTTTCCAATTTTTTATTTTTTTTAAAATCTGGTCACCAAGTGTATGATGAAATAAATGTTGTAAATGGTATATTTCTTTTTTATTGAATATTGAAAATAGTAAATGTAAGTGGTAAAATTGATTTTTATAAGGAGTTTTGTGGGTGCAAAACAATCTGACATTACAAATTTGGTGCATCCTCATGAAAATGGTCCAACGCCCATCCCTGTGTCTGTCTCCTTTTCCATGATATTCCCATGTGATCTAATGAACAGATGATCAAAGCTGTTTCTGGGACTCTGCTATACGTCTAATGGTCCCTTTACTGTTTTAGCCCGTGAAGGAGGAGAATATGAGACAAAGAAGACGGAGGGTACATGAAAATGAGACTGTGTGCGAAAGAAAAAATGAGAGAGAGAATGATAAAGAAGTAATGTTGAGCTAGCGACATTCGAATATAAGACAGGAACAAAATACAGTGAAAGTACCTATGCACTGAGCAGTGTGTGTGTGTGTGTGTGTGTGTTCAGACCCTAATTAATCTCCGCACTGCCTCTCTGGAGGGCGAACACATTAAACACCCAAGATGGGTTGAATTTTTTTAATGATCAATATTTGATCCCATAATTCATATTTCATTGTTTTTAATGACGTACTTATGTAACCAGTGCTGCTTTATAGCATTAATTGATACATATTTTATTGTTATTTAGAGAATTATGAGCGATAGATGCTTAATACATTCTAAGACATCTGTTTCGGAGATCCACGATGTAATCGTGTTTAATGTGTCCAAGATGTTTTGCGATCAGGCTTGATTATTTCTTCATTTGCAGTGGTGTGTGTGTATGTGTGTGCGATAAACAGTGGCTCCTGTGTGTGTTATCTGGCAGTGATTCTTATGAGAAGTGAGACAGTCTTTCACTGAAAGATCCACCACCTGCAGTCTCAGCTGTATGATGATGAGACACACACACACACACACACACAACCACACATACTCACACATAAGCGCTCTCTCACACATGCTCACAATCAACACACATTCTCCTTCTTCACGCACATTGTCTCTGTATCTCACACTCAGACAAAGCGAAACAAGAAGTGAGAAGGTGTTTCTTCTTAATTAGGCTTGCATGCACAATCTTATATTTTCTCTCTCTTGACTGCTCTTTACTCTTGAGTGTTTTTAATACATTCCTTGACATAGTGGCCAATACACACGTAAACACTCCCATGGGGTTGATTCATAGAGAGTTATGGCTGTGCTTCTTTGACCTCTCACCTATTAGAGCAAGGTGCTGAGTTGCAAGTGTGTGTTTGTGTGTTTCCTGACCACTCAACCTCTGAGGCTCAGGTCAAAGGAATTAAAGGGATAGTACACCCAAAAATGAAAACTAATATAAATTAATTTACTCTCCCTCATGTCATGTCATGACTTTCCATCTTCTTTGGAACACAGAATGAGATATTTAGAAAAAATTGTCTCTGTTTTATCCATACAAAATATAAGAATAGTCATACAGGTTTAGAATAAAATGTAGGCGCGAAAATGATGACTGATTTTCAGGTGAACTATGCCTTTAAATACAAATATATTTCCACCAATAAATATTATTACTTTTGTCATCATTCACAAATATCTGCATATTCTCTTACCTTTTAAATTATAATAATATTTCACAATATTGCATTTTTATTACCATATTTTTTATATCAAATAAATGCAGCCTTGGTGTGCATAAGAGACTTCTTTCAAACAAATTAAAAATAGTAATTATTCCAAACATTTGACAAGTAGTGTAATTTCAATATATGGTCAAATTAAAAGCATACAAATTTTACCAATCCCAAACTTTTGGATAGTAATGTTTTTCTTTTGTTATTTCTGGTCCCAAAGTGTATTATGATGAAAAAAAAAAGTTTCTTAATGTATTCTCAAAAAAAAAAAAAAAAGTATATTCTGAATACATATATATATATTTATATACACGCACACACACACACACACACACACAATTTGTTATCATTTAGAAATTTGGTGACATTTAGATGGGCAAATTATTATTATTATTATTTTTCATTTTTTAGGTGAAATATCCCTTTAAACACAAATACATTTCCAGCTATAAATATTTTAGTCATGCCATAATTCACAAATTGTGCATATTCTCCTGCCCTTTCATTTATTAAATATTTCAGAAAATTTGATAATGTTTTCAGCTTCCAATAAAAGTGTCCAGTACTTCCAGCTCCCTTTATGTAATATATCATATTTGAAATATTATTATATTTCCATTCTACAGATTTCCCCCCCAAAAAACTACAGAAAGTGTGAAAAAACTGAACAGGTTCTGTCTGGGCCTGCTCATTATTCACCATCTGTTTCTTATATATTCATTCAGGCAGCCATAGTGTGTGAACAAGAGTTGGAGATAGGATGAAGGCTGGTATTAGGTCATTTAGTGTGGTTTGCATGTTGTGTAATTGAGTGTTTGATGTGTTTGTGTGTGTCTTCTGTACACAGTCACCATAATCACAGGAAGCTCTGGGTGGGCTATACGACCTAGTTTTTATTTTCACACAAACACACATTCTGAATATCAAAAATCGGCACAATAATGCTCATGGAATATACATGAATATGTATGCAGTTGAAGCATTGTGTTGTGTTGTTAATGAGATCGCACTCCATCTAATGAAGCCATGGGATGTCCTAGAATAGATGCACAGTGTGTGTGTGTGTGTGTGTGTGTGTGTGTTCGTGTTTGCGTGCGTGAGTGTGTGTGTGTTGTCTTTTGATGAGTTAATGAATGATGATGAGATTTCTATTGCTCTGGGCTGAGCTCCCCTTTGGGCTTGTATTATCATGAAGTTGTGTTAAATCGGTCCTCTTTGTTTTTGTTACATTTCACACACAAAACAAGTGGATTTCCTGTTAAAATGCAGTTCATATGCTAATGAAATTTTCAATGCAAAAAAAAAAAAAAATCTATCCTAAATCGTCACCCCCTTTACGCGCGCGCGCGCTCATGTGTCTGTATGAGCAGCATCCTGCATATCTTTGTTCGTGTCTTCATCAGATTTGTGTTGATGAGATCAACTTGCGCTCTGACTCCTCTGGCTTCGCGCGACCCTATAGCCCACCTGCGCCTGGAGAGTATTTTTAAAAGCAGGGTGCGAGCGCGAGCGCGTCGCGTGAAGTGCACCACTTCAAAAGCTTCTAAAGCTCTTCACTTATATCGGGTTATGCGCGTGGACACGTAGGGTTTTTGAGAACCGTGCAGATTGCACTCGTCTTTTTGTCGGAGTTACCAGATCTTGGACTCTCACTCGGGTGGATAGAGAGACGGATCTCCACCGGGATCTCCTCGCACCGCGACTGTACCTGGAGAATCCGGTAAGAGCTCCCGCAGCTTCACGGTAAAGCGAGGTCGTCCGGTGCTTTGGTCAAGTGTGTGTGTGTGTGTGTGTGAGAGAGAGAGAGAGAGAGACGCACCACTTCAAAAGCTTCTAAAGCTCTTCACTTATATCGGGTTATGCGCGTGGACACGTAGGGTTTTTGAGAACCGTGCAGACTGCACTCGTCTTTTTGTCGGAGTTACCAGATCTTGGACTCTCACTCGGGCGGATAGAGAGACGGATCTCCACCGGGATCTCCTCGCACCGCGACTGTACCTGGAGAATCCGGTAAGAGCTCCCGCAGCTTCACGGTAAAGCGAGGTCGTCCGGTGCTTTGGTCAAGTGTGTGTGTGTGTGTGTGTGAGAGAGAGAGAGAGAGAGAGAGGGCTGTGATATTCAGTCAAAGACAAACTATTGTTAGGCAGTCAGTTCAGAAATGTCCAAGATTTAATATAGTGCTTTCACAGAACACGTCGTTATTCAGCCGTAAATGTGCAGACCGCTGTTAAATTGAATTATTTATTAGAGTTGTAAGCTCTGTCGAACATTTTAGGACAGGGTGAACTCATTAAAAGTCTTCAAGTTTTGTTGGCTTTCTTACAAACTTGCAGTGACTGCGGGCTATTACAAACCACACTGTAAAAATGTCCAAATATTATCAGGAATAATATAACAGTAAAATCTTAGATTATATTTTAAAAGACAATACATGTCATTTTACATTGTAAAATGTTTTAGAAACGAATGAATTAATAAGTTAATATAATGTATGGATACAATATATAGCCTATTGTATTTAACAAGACAATAACCTACGTTATGGATTCAGATTGTTAAAATAATGTTATTTCTTTAAAAAATATATATATATGAATCTCATAATTAGGCCTATACTTGACAGGGAAATTCCCAGGATTCACATAATATAAAATGTAAGTTAGATTCGTATTATTATTTTATTTAGTTTCAGTATGCACACTGGTGTGTTGTAAGTTACATTTTATGTTGTTTAGGTAATGTTCATAGTGCTATTTTAGTGTTATGTTTATTATTACCCTGATGGTGTTTCTGTGTGACAACAGTCACTGGAGAGAGCATTTAAAGTTATCTTGGGGTCGTCATGTGACATTTATGTCATTGTACAGCTTATTATAAGCACGTTTTACAGTAACAAATACATTTTAATAGCTGAAATGTGTTACTACACCAATCTTATGCAGTTTAATGATGTATGCAGTCACCAAAATGCATCTTGTGAAACATTGCCACTGTATTTTTTACAGTGAAGTTCTGGAAATTGTAAAAATGTAGCAAAAATTGAATTGAATGACATGAATGCTTATGCTTTATGTTAGTTTAGAACTCTTCATGCCTGTGAATGTATATGATTGCTCTTGAGAACCGGAGGTCACTTTACTCTAGTGATACTCTGAGAGACAAGAGGCTTGCATAAGCAGTTTTTTATTTCTGTTCAGCCCTGTCATATTTTGACATTTTTCTCACAAGACTTTTGTAAAGTGCTGACTTCTTCCTGCTGCTCTAATGTGTACTGAAAAGACAGCCCAGTTTGAATATCCAAGTTCTCCCTTCCATAACTCAGACACAGATGGCCACATTATTTAAAAGTAAAAGTAAAATAAAATGCAAAACATCAGCGTTGTGTTCGAACGGAAGCTCTATAGGAGCTTTTTCTCCCATTTTAGCGCCTGTAGATTTAGGTGAAGTGAAAATGAGAGAGCGAGAGCTAGAGATGCGCCGTTTCTCCCTCGTGCTGTGAGGATGACTTAGTGTCTCTCACCTTCATCCTGACACCTCATCTATTATCATTAGGCACACAGTCAAACAACTCTCTCAAGATGTGGGTGTGAAAGTGTGTGTACGAATGTGAAAGAGAAGATGAGTGTGAAAAGAAGAGAGAAACAGAGAAAACTCTTAAAAGTTTCTCTTTCTGAGTTCAAGACTGACAGGCCTGGGTCACAGTCATGACCTGCTCCATTTTTGCTCAAACATATGCACGTCACTTTTACTACGTTTGGTGGTTAGCGCATTGACTTGACGTGGCCTTTGACCTGTCAAGCAGTTGATTACTAAATGATTTTACCTATTCATAGCCGTTTTGCAGTGTGATAGTGAGACATTAGTGTTTCCCAACCTTTTTTTGTCTTAAATACCCCTTCATTGACCCCAAAATGGAAATGTTTCTTATTTAATTCTTCTTCTTCTTATTTTTTAATTATTATTATTTAAATTGATCATTTATTCCTGCAATGGCAAAGCTGATTTTCAGCAGCTATTACTTGAGTCTTCAGTGTCACATGATCTTGATCAATAACAGCATTTATTTGACAATCATTTGTAACAACATAAATGTCTTAGCTGGTGTTTTTGCATTCTAACTCTAAATAAAAATATTTTTTTTTTTTTAAATTGACACAAATTGAGCAAACTGACACATTATTTTTTCTTTAAAATAACTGAAAATGTTATCTGCAAAAATTGTTAACATTATTTGAATAATTTAATAACCCCTAAAAACATTTGATTTTAAAAGCCATCGTTTCTGTTTTAGAGGTTTTTAACAAGGCAAAATCAAAATCTTTTCAAGTATTCTCTTGGGCATGCGTGGCCCTGGTTGGAAACACTTCGTTACATCAACTATGACAGAGCATCTGATATTGCCACAATTCATGGAGACTGCATTTTTGATCTTTTGTATGAAAAAACAGTTGCATGATAATGAAGTGTTGGTGTAATGCTGTCATTTTGGATGACTGTATTCATCTCACTCTCATTTTTCTCTCTCTTTCTCTCTCTGTTTTCCAGACTGACTCAAATAGAACAGAGGTAAGTGAGATCTTCATATTGGTAGTTTTACAGCTTGGAAAAACTAACAAGCAAGGTGACAAGAGTGAGAATGAATGGTGAAAACTGAAATGTGGCACATGGCAGAGATCAATCTTTAAACGAATTGAACCAGAAACCCTTAAAATATATGAACAGTAACAAACAGAATCTGTGCAGATCTCCACATAATTGGAAAGCACTTATGCATCCTCTTGTGTTTTAGTTTGTGAAATATTTTGTGTAATTCGATAATGCTTTTGGTTATCAGTAGTAAGCGTAGTACTATCAACTCGATTTCACATTTGACTATGTTTAAATTCTGTAATATCAGCACAGAAGATGCAAAAATGTCAGCAGATTCCTTCTGGGCCTGGCATGAAAACAGTGGTGTTCAGCTCATGTTTCATCTACTGTACAGTAGGTCTACTTGTCTTCTCTAAATATGAAGAATGCACATCCAGTGAAGTTAAAAACATCAAAAGGCCACTTTTGCATCTTTCTTTTCTTTCATAGCCAGTAGTCAAGGCTTGTCTTATCTCATATTCAATGCTTTAACACTCTTTAGATGTTTTAATGTGCCTTTCTGTACAATGCCATGCTGGAAGGCGCTGATGTCCACTGAGATCAATAAACCCTCCATTCAGTGAGGGGGTGAAATGTCTTCTCTCTTTCTCACTAAGCCCTTTCGGTCTCTCTCTCTCTCTCTCAAACACACACACACACACACACACACACACACACACAAAGGGCTGACTGTTTAAGGCTTTTCAAACTATTTATTGTCTCACTTAGGAACACATATGAGCATGCACACTTTGCATATTAGACCCTATGGAACATGTATTGTGTAAACATATTGCATAATAAATAGGTAATGGTGATTTTTTTTGTTCCCAACACATTTCTCAGGTAATTTTACAACCAGTTCGTGATCAATATTTTGATGAAAGTGAACAGCACATCCTAGTGGCCACAAGTTCTTACTGCATTCCCACCATTCTGCTCTTAAAACCCAAAATACACCCCATCTGTCACAGCAATCTCACACTTGAGCGTGATCTCTTGCATTTATATTCCTCATTTAAAAATAGATCCAATCCAGATGTTTGCAAATGGCACAGTATACAGTAGGGCCGAAAACTGTGTGTGTGTGTGTGTGAAATGACATATTTTTGCATTATTTCTAGGTCACTGATTAAATGTAAACAAATTTGTACCAAAGGCCAGATGTTGTTTCTTCCGTCGAAGCACATAAGATGCTCAGTGGAATATTCTCAAATGCTGGATAACATGGATCATCAGGTTTTGAGAAACTGTGGGAGACAATGTTAGCTTGAGTGCAAATATCAAATACTAAGCAATTCCATTTTCAAATGAAACTTTTCACTCAAATTGTTATGCTGATAATATAATTTATAATTACATTATAAACACATTTTGTATTCATTTAGAAAATTCTTACATGTGGGCCTCACCATACATATGCACATACACTGAAAATACACACCGTTAAAAAGTTTGGGGTCAGTAAGATTTTTAAAGTTCTTGAAAAAAAAAACTGAGAAAACTGTGTGTGTGTGTGAAATGACATATTTTTGCATTATTTCTAGGTCACTGATTAAATGTAAACAAATTTGTACCAAAGGCCAGATGTTGTTTCTTCCGTCGAAGCACATAAGATGCTCAGTGGAATATTCTCAAATGCTGGATAACATGGATCATCAGGTTTTGCAGAAACTGTGGGAGACAATGTTAGCTTGAGTGCAAATATCAAATACTAAGCAATTCCATTTTCAAATGAAACTTTTCACTCAAATTGTTATGCTGATAATATAATTTATAATTACATTATAAACACATTTTGTATTCATTTAGAAAATTCTTACATGTGGGCCTCACCATACATATGCACATACACTGAAAATACACACCGTTAAAAAGTTTGGGGTCAGTAAGATTTTTAAAGTTCTTGAAAAAAAAAAAATCTCTTAAGTTCACCAAGGCTGCATTTATTTGATCAAAAATACAATGAAAACAGTAAAGAATACTGAAATATTATTACAGTTCAAAAAAGTGTTTTCTGTTTTAATATATTTTAAAATGTATCGGATAGTTCTGGTCCTTGATTCTGATTGGCTGAGCCACATTCGAAGCTGTTGTAAATTATTCTATTGCTTGGCAATCACTTTGTTGCAACCACAACTGATTCTGAGGAACTACATTGTTTGGTGGAAGAATACTGTTTTTATTAATATCATTACACTTTATTTGCTCCGTTTTATTTTGTGAAACCTTACTACGTATATGGAATAACCGTTTTATTCCATATACGTAAATAAAACCATTTTATTTATCCACTTCGCGTCGTGCCTAACAACGCCCCTTAGCTGTTATACTGTAAACCATGGCTTCACAGGCCTTATTGCTTTAAAGTCGACATGAAACGGAAGTTGTGATTGTCTTTTCTTCTCTACTGTGATGTATATCCAAGTGAAACGGCATCTGAAATGAGAGGGCGGGACTTGATTTGGTCCTTCGGGAATTGATTGGATCGTTGGAAGCTGGGGCGTTGCTAACAAAATGGAGGCAGATCTGAATGCCAGTTTGCAGTTAGTGGTGGGGGATTTCTCTCCACTGGATTCACAGCCGACACCCAAGCATGAATAAATGTTTTATTCATTAAGGATGACAACGACGATCAATGGCACAAAACATGCCTAAACAGCTCGCAGCGAGAGAGAGAGACTGCCTGAATGACTGAGTGCGTCCTCCATCAGGTTAAGTCATATTCATGAAAAAAATTAGTTTGCAATGTCCTAAAGTAATGTTGTCTTAATATCCTAATATCTTTTCAATGTTTAGGGGTAACGTACTCCCTCATGACTGGTGTCAGTGCTATAAAGTGAAGCATCAGCTTCAGCTTTTCCCCCTGTCGTTTATCCCAGTGTTTACCCCTCACGTTACTAGCTCCGCCCTTGCGCCATAGCTCGTGACAGGAAGAGAAGATGAGTCGTTTTGAGGGGGAGGGGAGGTTAACGTATTTGATTAAAGATTACGAGGGCACATGAATTAAAAAATAATAATGAAGTGCACGGATAAATTATTTATAATAAACACTACAGTATTCCATTAAAAAATAAGAATTTTCCATTTTGATTTCATGGTGACTTTAATTTATTTTTGTGACGGTAAAGCAGCCCTTACTCCAGTCTTCTGTGTCACATGATCCTTCAGAAATCATTATAATAGGACGATTTGTTGTTCAAGTAGCATTTATTATTACTACCAAGTTGAAAACAGTTGTGCTGCTTAATAGTTTTTTTTTTTTTTTTTAATTGTGATACAATTGTTCAGAAGAACAGCATTTATTTGAAATATAATTTTTGGGGTAACATTATAAAATTTCTTTACTGTTAATTTTTTTTAACATTACATTTAGAATTTTACATTTTGAACTTCTTCAAAACAAATAAACAAACAAAAAGCTTACTGACCCAAACTTTTGAATGGTAGTGTATATATACTGTATACATTGAAGAATATATGACCATTTTCTGTCATGCAGAGTCTATAATAGACAAAATTTCCATTTTACTCAAGTGACAAGCTCACAGTAAGACCCTCATATTCAGACAGATGTCTGTTGATCGCAGAGTTTTAGTGGGAGAATACCTGAGTCAGCTGTTTCCAAAGTAGACTGAAAAAAATCATAAAACAGTCAAATGCCAACTGATGCTTTCAGTGTGTGTGTGGATGTTTGAGAGAGAAGGATTTAAAAGGGCTGTGTGTGTGTGTGTTTAATGAGTTTTTCATCTTTCAGGAGAGTCCTGTGGAGTCTGTCCTTCTTTCACCCAGTGAGAGACTGCTGAGTTTAGGCTCAGTTTAAACTCATATTAGCGCATGTAAGTTGTTTGCATTCACACACACACCGGTTCTGTCCAAAACCCAATGAGCCTAGCTAACTAAGGCAGCATGCCAAGTCATAAGTGACTGATTTGGAACACTTTACATAACATACAGTAGGCAGCAACAGCAGCTTGCGAAGCACACAGGCTATAATTGTTTTAGATATTTATAAAGTTATCATGTTGCTAAGCTAACAATGAATAAAATGCTATAATTTTAAAGCCAAAGTGTCTAATTTATTAAAAAATAATGATTGCTTCTAAAAACCTGCCAGTGGTCAACGTTGTGCCAGTGGTCAGATAGCGTTGCCTCAAATCAATCTACAAATGCATTTGCATGATTGCATCTGACATTTACGCAAAATTGGGAAAGTCATTCACCTTATTAGAAGTCAGTATACTATCAGTATATCAGATATAGTCAGTATATACAGTAGCTATACATTTTATTAAAGAAACCCATACGGACATGTAATATATGACATATTGCCCCTATATCAAGATATAGTTATTGGTATATAGATATAGATATTGTCATATCTTACTTATAAGGCTATATATAATTCACATACGCACTTTCTCTCGGTAGATATCTGTTCATAACAACTTAACAAGTAAGTTCGTAACATATATAAAATGCTCATAGTAAAAATTGTACATGGTATTATATGTAGCAACCATATATGTCAACAATATATATTTTGTTTATATATGCAACATTATTAAAACAACATATATATATATACATACAAATCTATAGGTTTATATATGTTTTTGTAATAATTGTTTTAAATGCATGCCTATGTTTTCTATTTACTTATGTAAGATCAACATGTATTGATGGGTTTTAGGATGGATATACATGTACATGACATATCATCACAATATATTTCATATATGGAAACGAAATATTTGTACATACAGTGCCTTGCGAAAATATTCATACCCCTTCATTTTTTTAACATTTTGTTAAGTGAAAAAAATAACCAAGCAATTATATATGAACAAACCCCTCTTTAAAAACCTTCAGAATATAGATAGTAATGGTATACAGTGGGTACGGAAAGTATTCAGACCCCCTTAAATTTTTCACTCTTTGTTATATTGCAGCCATTTGCTAAAATTAATATATAATTCCTCATTAATGTACACACAGCACCCCATATTGACAGAAAAACACAGAATTGTTGACATTTTTGCAGATTTATTAAAAAAGAAAAACTGAAATATCACATGGTCCTAAGTATTCAGACCTTTTGCTGTGACACTCATATATTTAACTCAGGTGCTGTCCATTTCTTCTGATCATCCTTGAGATGGTTCTACACCTTCATTTGAGTCCAGCTGTGTTTGATTATACTGATTGGACTTGATTAGGAAAGCCACACACCTGTCTATATAAGACCTTACAACTCACAGTGCATGTCAGAGCAAATGAGAATCATGAGGTCAAAAGAACTGCCTGAAGAGCTCAGAGACAAAATTGTGGCTACTGAAGTGGAGATTTTTGGCTCAGTGCAGGAGAAAAATCTCATTTTGAGATAGCGGCCTTTAAAGATATCTATTGTAATTGAAATCCAGAGACACAAATAGAAAAAGTGATATAAAAGAAACACTTAAAATTGGATTTTTGAATGTTTTCTTTCCACTAACAGACAAAAGCAGTGTTTTTGCCTGCAGTGTTTTACCTTAAGTAGCACAACTGTTTTCAACATTCAAAGAAATAAGGCACATTTCTTGAGTGTCAAATCAACATATTATCACTAACACAGGATCATGTTACACTGAAGACTGAAGTAATGGCTGGTGAAAATTCAGCTTTGCCATTACAGGAATAAATTGCATTTTAAAATATATAAAAATAGAATTTTTTTTAAAATTGTAATCATACATTTTACAATATTACTGTATTTTCAATAAATAAATGTAACTTATATTCACTTCTCTCACTTCATCCAGCAACTTGGATGTAGTTTTCACTGAGCTCTTTGCAATGCATTTTGGACTCTTACACTACATGCCCTACAATTCAGCCTAAATTAGGAATATCAAAGTAACACAGTCATGCTGCTTACTTTGTGGAACAGCCATCGCAAGTATGAAGACATCTTAAAATGTGGCCTCAGTAGACAGCTCACTATAGGATTTGGACCAGAAACACTCTTAGACGCTTTAGCCGCTTCCCTTTTTACATGCGCAATACAAATGCCTCTCTGTATTCCCCAAACCCCTGTTTCCCTCTTCCTGTGTTCCCACACAGTTGGTCTTGAAGTAGCTTCTCTCTGACCAGCTGCTGTCAAGCCTCGCAGCAAATAACGTGCACATGAATACTGTATATGACCATAAAACGTCAGCGGATTCAGCGCGTTAAGAGTGCGTGTGTGTTTTATAGTGCATACACTGCTGCATTATTGAGAGCTACTCACAGATGCATCCAACTCTTTCTGACGCTGAAGATGTAATTCACTAAAAATACATACTTACCCAATCTCTCACTCTCTGTCTCTCCCTCTTCCTCTGTTGGTTTTCTCTCTCACTCTTTCTGTCTCTCTCTCTTCCTCTCTATTGGTTTTTTCTTCCTTTCAATCTCTTCCTTTTACTCCCTGCCTCTCCATATATTTTCTTTCACTCCTTGATTCACTCCTCATGTCTGTCTTTCTTGTGTGTGTGTGTGTTCATGTCTGTCTGCTTTAATGTGCTAAACTGGAGCTGCATTAGATGCATTAGATCGTTTTTCCCCTCTCCTCTCAGTCGCTCAATAACTATCCCTTTCTTTTTCTCACTCTCCTTTCTCTCCATCTCTTTATTAGAGGTGGTACTTATGAATGTGGTAGTGCATTAAAGTGATAGATGAAGATAGTATATTCCACATAGCTCATCTATAAATAGAAGGTGCAAATAAACCAATGTAGAAAGCAGACATAGCAGGGGCTGTCCTCCTCTGTTTGGCACAATTTTTTCTGTTGATTTTAAGGCATTATCTCAAGCTGTGAGACTGCTGCTGCCCTCCTCTGGAGGTTGATATTTTAACATTTTAAAACCTGAAAGATATGAAAATACTTTGTTCTTCTTTTTGTGTCATACCAGCTTCTGTAACTCTGACCAGCAGCATGTGGGACATCAAAAGGTAAGAACACCTTCATGCTTTTATTAAGTTCACTTTATCACCTCAAGCTCAATCCAACACCAGTTAATCCATTCCTGGTTTACAGTTTGTTGTTCTGTATTATAAAAAAATCATATATATTATGTATTCAACCATGCCTGCCTCAGCCAGTTTTGTGCTTGATTTAATAGAAGGAAAGTGGAACAGTTCTGCCATGTTGTTTCTAAAGATGAACTTGACTGGCTAGATAATTTTTGTCCCCAGGAGTAGCCCAAAATAGCAATGGCCAGATAATTCAGTTAAAGGCACCCGAATATTCTGGAGGAGCCAGACAAAAAAACAAAATGGAGATTAGTTGCAGAGATTTAACTTTATTATATTATATCATATCATATCATATCATATCATATTATATTATAAACCATGATACCTTTTAAGGACACTTTGAAAATTGCAATGTTCAAACAAACAGTATTTATTTGAAATAGGAACGTTTTATTTGATATTTTGTTATTATATTATATTATATTATATTATATTACATGAGTGCTGTTGTACTTAATATATTTCTCTGTAAAACAGCATGTTAGTGAGTGTGATATTGCTTTTACACAACAGTTCAATAAATAGGAAATTCATATCGAGTGACTCACTTTCAGACAAAATTTGGCCAGTTAGCTGGTAATTTTTTTTCTCTGCTCACAGAAATATTTCCAATAGAAGCCAAAGTGTGGGAGTGGAGTTCCCCTCTCCGCTCATAGAGTTCTGTAATCACTCTGCTTCAGCTTCACCTCAGATTTTTTCCATCCTTGCTCTACGCTCACTTGTGTGAGAGGGATTTAGAGTGATCTTTGAGCCAAAGAAAACACAAATAACATTCCCAGACATTTAAAAGTAACTGGTTATATTGTCTCTCTTGTTTACTATACACACACACACACGTTTGTTTCTGTGAATTGTGGGGACTTTCCATAGATGTCTATTACTTTTATACTGACCAAACAATATTTTCTACCCCCTAACCCAACCCTAAACCTACCCCTTACAGAAAACCTGTTTGCATTGTTACACTTCCAGATAAACATCATTTACTCTTTTTAATAATTTGTTTTCTCTCATGAGGACCGCAGGCTGGTCCTCACAATGTAAAAAATATACTGTAGTACAAACACACAATTCATCAGCAATAGATACTTTGTTCAAAATGAAAATGAACAAGTTGTGGACCAATTTCTGTGGCCAGTTACATAAAATGTTTAGACTATAGTCTTACAAATAGCTATGTCATGTAATTTTTTTCTTTAAGACTGGACATAACTTCTTCAATTCAGTTACATAAAACATAGATTGGTCTAATTTTAATATATATATATATATATATATATATATATATATATATATATATATATTCTCTGTTTGACAGAAAAAATGTGAAAACATTAATATATATATATATATATATATATATATATATATATATATACATATATGCTCTTTGATGGACAGAAAATATGAGAAACCACATAACATACATGCAATCACTCAATCATAGAGAAAGAGGGAGCATATGTGTGGGTTTTCAGATGTGTAATAGAGTGAATATAATTAAAATATCCGATTATGGTCACTTCAGTTGAACATAATAAAAGATTAGGCTCACACATAGATGAATTGTGACTAACAGCCCTCAGTTTCCTTTGCTAGTCTGTTAAATTATTAGTTTTTTATTTTAAATAAATGTAGATGGGTTCATGTACAGTATTAGGAAGTCAGCTGGAGTTCATCAGTATGTGAGAAAGTCTCTTACACTTAATTTGGCTGACAAAAAAAATAGACACTGGCTATGCGATCACAGTAATGCCCTCTGTGTGTGTGTGTGTGTGTGTGTGTGCACAAGTTTGTGTGCGTTAGAGAGATAGGAAGGATGAATATATGGGGGATGGGATAGGTTGGGTTGGGGGTTTTTTCCATTTCTTTTTCACATGCTCACACTAACACAAGAAATCAGATTAGTGTGAGGATTACAGAGCACCAACCTTTTTAGAGAAAACACACGCACAGAAAACGTACGAGCTTCTAAACAGTGATGAGAGCACTGAATAATCTTTAATCAACAGTTCACCGAAGGATACACACCACAGATGATAGTAGTTTCTGTTACTCCTTCTTCTCTTTCATTTTCAAAGGCCAGATCGAGATTAATTAAATGTCAGCACTGATGTTGTGTGTGCGTGTGAGTGCATGTGTTTGGTGTCTCGCTGTTAATTTGGTGTAAAATGTCGAGTGTCTCCTGCTCTTATGCTGACATTCTGATTAAGAGCATCGAATACCTCTATATATGCTGAATTTTTTTTATTTGTATGATGCATTATACATACAACCTTACATATATGGGAGATTAATGACGTTTCCAGAAATAACTCTTCTTTATGTGCGTGCGAGTGTTTGTATGCATGGGCTGCCGGGTCTGTGGTTACCTGAGCACTTTCTGCAACTAAAGCAAATAAATGCCCTCATTATTTAAGCTGAATAAATAAGCTTTCCATTGATGTGTTGGTGTCTCGCTGTTAATTTGGTGTAAAATGTCGAGTGTCCCCTGCTCTTATGCTGACATTCTGATTAAGAGCATCGAATACCTCTATATATGCTGAAATTTTTTTATTTGTATGATGCATTATACATACAACCTTACATATATGGTAGATTAATGACGTTTCCAGAAATAACTCTTCTTTATGTGCGTGCGAGTGTTTGTATGCATGGGCTGCCGGGTCTGTGGTTACCTGAGCACTTTCTGCAACTAAAGCAAATTAATGCCCTCATTTACATATCACTGTGGGAACTGGGGTACTGATGATGCATACATCTTTGTGACTGTGAACGTATGTGTTTGTGTGTGTGTGTATGTGTGTGTGTGTGTGTGTGTGAGAGAGAGAGAAAGAGAAAGAGACAGTAAGCATGAGAGAGAAACAAATTTCATTCTGCATTTATTTTGTGTATTGTTCAAATTCAGCCCACTAGAAAAACAGGCACCTCCATTTGCATATAATTGAATTCTGCTGCAGCAAACAGTTTATTATAACAGTTCATCATAAGTGTCCCTATATTTCTTGCTTCCTCTTTAGGCTGCATAATATAAATAAATAAATACATACATAAAGGAATGAATGAATGAAACATTTTAGGGATGAAGATTTTTTTATTGTGCATGGTACAACATGGACAATAAAACTACACTCTTAAAAATAAAGGTGCTTCAAACGGTTCTTCAAGTGATGCCATAGAAGAACCCTTTTTGGTTCCACAAAGAACCATTCAGTCAAAGGTTCTTTAAAGAACCATCTCTTTCTTACCTTTTTATAATCTGAAGAACCTTCTTTCGCCACAAAGAGCCTTTTGTGAAACAGAAAGGTTCTTTAGATGTTAAAGGTTCTTTATGGAACCATTTAGACAAAAAGATTCTTCTATGGCATCGTGAAGCACCTTTATTTTTAAGAGTGTATGTGTAATTTTTTTTAAACTATTAAACATATTTGCTATACATCTTGCATAAGCAAGCCATTCGTAGGTTATAATAAGATTTTCTACTGTTTGTTTAAGCATTCTGAGTATTTTCTAGTGATGGGACGATTGATACCGAGGCTCCAAGGCTCAGACGCAGTTTTCAAAGCACTATTGTATCACACACTGTGCCGATGCTTGAATCAAAAATGACAATACTTTTGTGATTGATGACGTTTGAAGCTTCGAACGTCATGCAGTATCGGAAGGTCGGGTTTGAAAAAAATCGGCGCTTCGCATGATTCTTGTGTTTGACTTTACATTGACTTGGTTGTGTGTGTACACTTATTTTGGATTCAGTAGAATAGTTTAGAATAACCTCAACACCTGACAGAAACTGAATGCACATCACACCTTTATTGCATTTGATCATGTTCTAGCTGGGGTCTCAGAGACCCTGAACAGCTCACCCAAAATATTTTTGCTACTACTCACGTCAATTATTAATTATAATCACACACTTGTATATTTATTATTATTGAATATTAATTAATATTATTATTCAATATGTGAATCCATTGACCGGACTACGCATGACATGAGTTGGCACAGATTAAAAACTTTTCAAACCATCCTCTGCTCCGCGATGTTTCATTAAATAGGCTGAAAAATAGGTTAAAAAGTCTGACCAGCAGATGTCGCTAATGCGCACGGTGTTAAAAAGCTTCGAGTAATGGTTTTTTTTAAATTGTGTTTTCCGGCACAATTTGACGAAAGCCTCAACGGTTCAGAAAGCCTCGGTTTCCCATCGTTAGTATTGTCGCCCTTTCCATACATATTCAACAATTCCATTTAATGAAAGAAATTCCACTCTTCAGTATTTTATTCATATTTATCATTATATTTTTACATATTTATAAAAATAAAAAAAAACACACACACATAGATAAAGCTTAAATAATCTATTATATATCTATTAACCTTTATAAGCTTAAGTAATCAACTAAATGAGGGGATGACGAGACACACTTGGAATCAATGAAACCCAATGGGAACAGGAAAAACCAAATATGGGCATGTCACACACAAGGGGAAATCTAGGTCAATGGGAGC